AGCCATAGCCATAGCCATAGCCATAGCCATAGCCAAAGCCATAGCCATAGCCATAGCCATATCAATAACGATAGCAATAGCAATAACAATAGCAATAGCAATAGCCATAGCCATAGCCATAGCCATAGCCATAGCCATAGCCATAGCCAAAGCCATAGCCAAAGCCAAAGCCATAGCCATAGCCATATTAATAACGATAGCGATAGCAATAACGATAGCAATAGCAATAGCCATAACCATAGCCATAGCCATAGCCATAGCCATAGCCATAGCCATAGCCATAGCCAAAGCCATAGCCAAAGCCAAAGCCATAGCCATAGCCATATTAATAACGATAGCGATAGCAATAACGATAGCAATAGCAATAGCCATAACCATAGCCATAGCCATAGCCATAGCCATAGCCATAGCCATAGCCATAGCCAAAGCCATAGCCATAGCCATAGCCATATCAATAACGATAGCAATAGCAATAACAATAGCAATAGCAATAGCCATAGCCATAGCCAAAGCCATAGCCAAAGCCATAGCCATAGCCATAGCCATATTAATAACGATAGCAATAGCAATAACAATAGCCATAGCCATAGCCATAGCCATAGCCATATCAATAACGATAGCAATAGCAATAACAATAACATTAACAATAATAATAGCAACAGCAATAACAATAACAATAGCAATAACAATAAAAATAATCATAAAAATAACAAAATTACAATCTACTTCACATACTGACGGATATAAGATTAAACGAATGCAGTTTCGTTTGTCTGTCTACTTTAATTAAAGTAACTCCAGGTGTCTCCGTGATTTCGTCATAATCTCACCTTGTTGGACTCGTCGCTTTCTATGCGTGAGTTGTAGGTTGGCTTCGTAAGGCGTGAAACGATGTCAACCAGTTCTTCTTGGGTGACTTTCCTGAAGCCGTAACCTTCGACCTTCGGCGGTGAAGGGGTCACTTTGTAGTAGTTCCCACTCATAGCTGAGTAGAAGTTTCTACATCTGAGAGATTGTAAATTAATAATGATAATTATTACTACTACTACTACTACTACTACTACTACTACTACTACTACTACTACTATTACTACTACTACTACTACTACTACTAATAATAATAGTAGTAGATTGCATTTATATAACGCTCTATCATGTTCTAGTATAAAATAAGCTCTATAGCTAGATGATGCTTTAACCCTTGATTTGTGCGGCGTGGTGCGCACACCAGGACATCAAAGTTTTTATAGGGAGCAAAAAATGAGGGCCACGACAGTGCCCCATCTATGCATTCAAGTCTATCATTTATTTTTTTTTTACTGAAAAATCCTGTTGGTTTTTTTTCTGTTTGGGGAGCGGTCTTCAAGTCTTTGAGTAAATTTCTAGAACGTTTTTCTCTTTAAATGATGGTGTTTTTAAGCCCCCATCAACACACTTTACATCAAAACTTCTTGAAACCTATGATACAATAAGTTGACTACCTATAGCCTACCAAAGTACCCGATTCCGAAGGAGTATTTGAGCTCAATAAAGCACATTTATGTGAGGGTCTTACAGAAGAAAAAAATGTTAATCAAAAGCAAAAATAATGTAAATTTTAAGTTTCCAAAGACACGCAAGCGGTGCAAATCACCAAACTTTGGAGTCACTTTTCTCGCCAATTTTACTTCTGACAATAGGAGACCCCTCCCTACTTCAGTAGAACAATACGTCGACTTCTGTTAGGACAAAGGAGTATTACTATTTTCCTTTCATCAAAAGCAAGGCAAAAGCATAGGCTTTCAGATTATACACAATACTTATAACTTTGCATGTCTAAAAATTTACGAGCGCCTGATTTCACATTGTTCTCATACCCACCCACCCCCTCTTCACACACACACACA